GAATACACCGTTTGATAGCATAATGATGCATGCACAAGTGAGGAAAATCCATATTAACTCGCGATTTTTTTCTTACTAAATTGGAAACAAAAGAAAAGTAATTTGCTTTTCGAGCTTCAATACCGGGACAAGTATTCAGCAAACAAAGGAACGCTTGCTCTTTTCTGTCGAAGGGTTGTCGACAAAAGAAGTTACTTTTTAACCAACCACTGATCGGCACGTCTCCGAATCACTAATTACATACACATTATCGAGCGTATCAAAAGTCATTACATCGCTAACATTGTACAATGAGCAGTGCCGGCACCAGGCTCACAAATTTCTGGTAGAGCGTCCTCTAACAGCTCTTTCTCTGTGCATGTGAACGTGGATTATAAGAGTTCTTTTTGCATATTTCGTTTTGTTGATATGGTTCCTTTTTTAGCGTCTTTTAAAATTCTCAATCGTTTCTGGGAAGAAAAAATCATCACTTGCTTTTCATATATTTTGTTTGACTTAATCACCGTGTAAATAAATGAGCGTTCAATTAATTAAATATTCTGACCATCTAAATGTCTTGTTCATTGATCAATTTGCTTAATTGCGTTTTGAAAAATAAAAATCTAATAAATTAGATACTTGTATAATTTAAAATGGTGATATAATAATAACGCGGTCTTTTCGCGTCTTTGTATTCTTGGGCCGATTCTTGCATTTGAACAATCTTCAGTGGGTAGTGGTTGATCTTCGTTGGTAGTTGTAGCTGGGTTGTTCTGAAGTCTTGAAGTGGTGTTATTTGGTTTGTAGTTTTGTGTGAAGTGGTAGCGTTTAAGGAACTAGAGTTGCTGAGCTTGTATTGTAATGATGATGTAGCAGGCTGTTGAGATATCGTAGATAGCTGTAGTCTTTGCCGTTGATAGTAGATTTGATCCTTGGAAGTGTAGCTTGGAACTATTTTCAATTTTTCATCTCGGCCACGCTAAAATGATTTACTTTCAACTCGTCATCCTAAACTCGAGAGATTTAAGACTACCCAACCCTCCAGCATTACGCTCTCCTCACATACTCATTTACTTTAATCACGTTCCTTGATTTTCAAGGGATCCAAAATTTCTATTTTTTTTTTTTTTAAATACATAGACGATTGGATGAAGCGGTGGTTTCCCATCTGGAAAAAATGCAGCCGATTATTGAGCTACTGTTTTTCTTCATAATTTAGAGCAAATTCAGTATTCAGAAATAATAAAAAAAACGTATCAATATATATTGAATATTAGGTAAGAAATATCAATAGCTATGGAGTATATAATAAATAAAACAATCATTTTAGTTTGTGTTGTAGTATTACTTATGTTCTCACACACACATTTCAGAATGTTAGTTGCTTCCCCTTTTCGCAATATATATATTTAAATATGGGAAACAACTAATAAAACGAAATATTATTTTGTTTCTATTCCGTTCAGAGATGTGCGGCGATGTTTTTCCCGTCAACTAATTTTATGCCGCCCATGAGAGGGTCTATGGAACTAGAGTTGCCGAGCTAGTATGCTAATGATGATGTAGCGGGCTGTTAATTAAAACAATTAAAGCTAAAATGGTAAAATTAATATAGACATCATTAGTAACAGAAAAGTTGAAGTAACATTTGTACGCGGTCAATGATTGACAACAGTGTGAAACACGGCATTTAAAACTCATTAAAGTAAAGTGACCAATGACCAAGACATTGAGATAGACATCACATTAAGTTGTGGGGAGGTTAATCTTTTGTACACGATGATGTCAAGGGTAAAAAGGTAAAGAGCCCTGATGTCAAGAGTCAAAATAATAATACCGTAATACTGATAAAAAATATTCAAATAATGGAATTGAACTGCTAGGAGGGTCCGAGTGTACACTCTACCGGGAATATTGTAAAGTAAAATAGTAATCAGTAAGTATCTGATTCAACTGTCACATGAACTAAGTCACGGACAGAGCAAAGTATTATAATGTTGCAGTAGCTAGTAACGGCAAGCAGTAACAAAGCTATTAGCCAAGTCTGATGACCATTTGTCTTGCAAGGGTTTACAGCCGGCAAGTAAAATTAATAATCAGGTCCGATGACTCGGGTCAACCCAATGTCCGCAGTTTACGGCCTGTAGTAAAATTATATGTTACTCAATAAACACAAAGTTAACTGCAAGCGTAGGCTACATGTGTGTTTATTAGTTGTCACAAATACTTGGTAACATTGATACATATTTTATGAGACAAAAAGTGTTACAGTAAATAAAAATGAACTAAGTAAATAAGACAATAGCAAAGAGCACGTGGGAGTAGGGAAGACGGCTCTCAACTCCATGTATATAAACCAGTAAGCTTTATGTGTCCACGTGTTGGTCAATACACTAATTTGATAGGCAGCTATGTGAGATGACCAACGATCTGGGTGCTGAAATAACATACAAAAAGAGAGTGTGATGGGGTGGGGGTATAAGAATGCGGGTAACTGGTGGGTGTCGTAGGCAAGGTAAGATGGCGGCATAACACTTTTACCGTCACACATGACTAAGTCAAACAAAATATATTAAAATGAATTGCTTATATTAGCTTTTGTTACCGTCAGAACGACTGCGAACAAAAAAAAAACCCGCAAAGATTGTTAAACATTGAAGAGAAACATATCACCGAATAACAACTATACAAAAGGAACTCGTAGATGTACGTGTATATACTCATGGAGCTGTTAGAGAACGCTGTCTTAGAACTGTGAGCTGGCCACAGAACGAAACGTTTTAAAATCTACAAATGAAAACTCCAACATCAGTATCGGGAAACTCAAGCACTCTGTGGCATAGACGCCATACCTCATCCACATCATTATCGTCCAAAAAAAAAATAAGACAATATGGCTATCTTGTTACTGTAAGATAGAGGAATAATGTGCCCTTGCTGCTAGACACACCTATGACATGTGTGTAGAATTCTCCATTTTAGATTTCAAGGTGGCGTAACATTAGTTTATGGGAAATACACAGCGGCACATCCCTGAACGGAATAGAAACAAAAGTATATTTCCGTTTATTAGTTGTTTCTCATATTGAGATTATTGCAACCAAGGGAAACAACTTTCTTGTTTAAATTTTTGTACAATAACAAAAGTAATAATACAACAAATACAAAAAAAAGTGTTTAATTTATTTATATCTCGCAGATATTAACATTTTCTTACCTAATTATTTGCCCATTTTTATAAATTTTGACATCTAAATAACTAATTTGCTCTAAAATATGTAGAAAAGCATTAGCTCAATTACCGGCTGCATTTTACCAGATGGGAAACCACCGATTTGTTGTACACACGCAAGATTAAATTGATTTATAAAATTTTTGGATCCCTTGAGAATCAAGGGACAAGATTTAAGTGAATGAGTTAATGAGGATAGCGAAGGGGTCCGGAACCTTCTGTGACAGAAGAGCCAAAAGATACAATTAACAAATTTACTAAGTTTGCAAAGAGCCACTGACATTTTAATGTCAATTTTTTTTATATTTGTGTAGGATTATATATATCATTCTTGCAGAGCTAGTTAAAATACCTTAATATATTTTGTTCGAAACATGTGTATGTTTTTATTTGAATAAATAGTATTTCATATTGAAAGCTATTTAATTGTATATATATATATATATATATATATATATATATATATATATATATATATATATATATATATATATATATATATATATATACATAATTTAGAATAAATAGCTTTAAATAATGAAATAATTTCATTTGTTTTTGTGTTGAAAGTACTTGCATTTGTTTTGAATCGCTAAAATCTCTCATTGAAAAGATCCTCCATTTTGTTTATAATAATGCTAAAGTGATTCATTTTGAAAGTAATATTGGTTTCATAACGATTTTTTTTTTCAGATTTTTCGTAATTAAGTAATTTCAACACAAAACGTTTTTTTTTCTCCGAAACTAACAATTTCTTCAAGCAAGTCATAGGCTCGGTTTTCCTTTCCTTGCAGTTTTACATTTAGCTGGTTTAGTTTATGTGTGATATGAAGTTGAATGTTTCAATTTGGGATGGACGATTCAATAGGTAGTACATTGGCATAGGAAGTAACTAAATATTCTAATAGTATAGTGAATGTTTATCGTTTATATGTATTTTTATATCGTTTTTTTACTGAGTTTTGCAGAACAATATGTTTTTGAGTTTTGAAAATAAAATAAAATAAGTATTGATATTTTTTGCATGGAGCTGAAGAGCCGCATCTTGACATCAAAAGAGCAGCATGCGGCTCGCGAGCCGCAGGTTGCCGAACGCTGGGATAGCGTAATGTTAGATGGTTGGCAGTCTGAAATCTCTTGAGTTTGGGATGACAAGTTGAAAGTAAATCATTTTAGTGTGGCCAAGAGTCTATTTGTTGTTGATTGGTAGATGAGGTTGAGCAATCGTTTGTAAAAAAAAAAAACTACTTCAAACAAGATAAAAACAATAAAAATAGCTGGAGTAGAGCGTATACAGACTGCTGGCGTCTGCTTGGGCACAAGGCCCAGCCCCGTGGCAGTGGTTCCATGCTTTCCACTACCAAAGTGCACATTTTATTTTTTTTCTAACATTTTAAATAGTAATTGTTCTTTTTTTAATTAAGAAAGCATTTTCTTATGTGTCAGTGTGCATTCATTTGACTTGAGTGACAGTTTTTAGTTATTAGCTTCTAAATTGGGTTGGGATAGTGCTATAGGCCTAGTTATATGATTTGATTTTATGATACTGGCAGAGCTAGCTAAAATACTTTCTTAAGTTCTATGTGAAACATATGTATGTTTTTATATGAATAAATAGTATTTTATACTTAAACCCATTTATTTTAAAATTATTTACCTAGTCATAATTACATACCATAATATTGAACAAAAATGATAGTGGCTCTTTAAAAACTGGGGAATTTTGTAAATTATAACTTTTGGCTCAACACACTCGAAAGGTTGCCGACCCCTGACCAAGACGAAACAGATCACCGTCAATATTTAAATGGTGGCAAGCAGATCCTGGGAATGTCATCTAAATTAACCCCTGAAATTTGTAAGTGGACTGAACACCTGAGAACCAGGTCAGGTGTTCAGATTGTTAGAATGATTAAAAATAATCACACAGACACTCCCATTACACAAGGCATATGGCAGCCATTCATGTTCAAGGAGACTGAATGGGCAGTGACTAAGTTTCCCAATGAGAAGTGGTCATCTGTTCTCAAGGTTGGAAAAACAGCTACAGATTATGTGCTGGAGGAGCAATCAGGCAAATCCCAACATGACATCAAGACACGCTGCATACATGAAGATAACAAATAATTGTTTCCTCAACACATGTTTCTACATAACGCTTATAACTTTATTCTTTGTGATGAGATATTCATTACATATTTCTACTACACTAATTTAAAAAATTGAAATCAATGGACAGGATAAAAGTATAAATAATTAGTTAATTCTCATGTTTAGGTGATATGCAGCTGAACTCCAAGTTTACAAACAAAGAATTGAATTAAAAAAAAAATACACTGATTTTTTTTAGTCTTGTTTAAAACGTTTCTTATATATTGTTCAACAGCAAACCTTGTTTGCCTCTTATGCAAAACTATTCTAGTACTCTCCTCGGTTCTCCATTTAATGGAGAATCCACTAGGTGGGTGGTAATGCAAGTAACCTTTTACCTTATCGTATAGACCTACAGAGTATAGAGAAAGTATGGAGGAAATAACTGCTCATAGTAGATTGTGTCACCCCAGAACGACTGAGAGAGAAAAAACGCAAAGATACTAGGGTTGCTCATGTTGCCAAATTTAAAATTTTGGATCCCTTTGAAATCAAGGGACAAGATCACAATGTTTGAGTATGTGAGGAGAGCGTAATGCTGGAGGGTTGGGTAGTCTTAAATCTTTTGAGTTTGGGATGACGAGTTGAAAGAAAATCATTTTAGTTGATTCGTTTTTGATTGGTAAATGGGGTTGTGTAATCGTGTGTCGAGTTGATCGTTGAGTATAGTTCGTCGTGTTTATCATAAGTTCGATGGTGTCGTGACGGATCATCCTACCTTGGATTGTTTCCAGGTAGGCGTCGTCTAGCTAAAAATTGAATATAGTTCCAAGCTACACTTCCTAGAATCAAATCTACCATCAACGACAAAGACTACAGCTATCTACGATATCTCAACAACCCGCTACATCATCATTACATGGTATATAACTGTTTTGTAAAATGGTTCAAACAAAATTGTTTTTTTTATATAGGGGCCTACATAAAACTGTAAACTCAGCTTCTTTCTTATATATTGTTCAACGTCTAACCTTGTTTGTCTTTTATGTAAATATATTCTAGTACTCTCCTCCATTCTCCATTCTCCAGGAGATTGGTGGTAATGCAAGTACCCTGTTACTTTCTCGTATACAGAGTATAGAAAAAGTATGGAGGAAATAATTGCTCATAGCAGTTTATGTCACCCCAGAATGATTGAGAGAGAAAAAACGCAAAGATTGTTAAATATTTAATTGAACCTTATTAGAATAAAAACTACTACCCTAATATATAATAACCCATGTGCGCACTTCTCTCTCTCTCTGTCCGCAAAATATTTTCGCCGGATATCACGTTAGAATCTGCAACGATATATGAAGAACTTGATACAGACTTTTGTTGAAAATAATATGGCAAATGTTTTAAATGTATAACCAAAATGTTATTAAAGAAGAAAAATAAAAAATAAAGGCGTATTCGAATGTAGAAAAACAGTTATAATTATGCAACAGGAAAAGCGTTTATAGTTTTGAAAAAGAACTCATATAACTGTGACGTCACTAATGTTTATACATTAACTAATGACGTCATCTGCCGTGTTTAGAATAAAAAGAAATCAACTATTTCATTCAAATTTGATTTAGATCTACGTACGCTATGAAATGTATACAATACAATTTTGCTCGGGCTAAACTTAAAAAAAAAAAATCTATTAGGATTCTAGATCTAGATATTCTAGATCTAGATATTCTATATCATCTATCTAGATCTAGATAATCTAGATCATCTAGATCTAGAGATTCTAGATCTAGATCTAGATGATCTAGATCTACGGAAAAACTAGACTTACACAGATGTAGACCCTACCTAGATCTAAAATCTATTCAAATAATACATTTCTATACTAAAGTATTTTAGGCCTTAATTACTTTATTGAAATCTTAGTGTTTATCTATGCAATTTGCTAATCCCTATAATATATAAAGCAAAGTTGTCGGGTGCCCGATAATGCACTTCCCGGCGCCGCAGGCGCTTCAAATTTGGCAGGATCTTGACTTGGCGCGACAGAACACGGAGGCCGGTACCGATCGGCCGAAAAGTCCACGTAGAGGGGGCCAAAACTGACCTCGACTGGCCGGCGCCTTATATGAGCTATAAATCGAAAAAAAAATGTCCACGTACGAACCTTAGTCGTAGACCGACCCTCGGGCGAATTAATTAAGCATTCAAATTCTCAATGCTTTCGAAAGCCTAAGCGAAGCTGGGCAGCATGCCTAGTATAAAAGGAACTCGTAGATGTACGACGATATACACATCACTGGACTGAATAATATTATGACCTTTGATTATGATTAGGTATATATATATATATATATATATATATATATATATATATATATATATATATATATATATATCAATGTATGTAGTATGTAAGTGCGTGTGTGTCTGTTTGTCTTTTATTCATTACTACACCTTTTATCAGATCGCCATGAAACTTTAGGAAGCTGTTGAGAATACTCATGGGGAGATATTTGCGAAAATAAAATATCAAATTCGCAAATAGAATAGCGAGTGTTTATTGTTTATATTTATTTAATCGTTCATTAACGAGTGTTGCAGACTATTATTTTTATTAGTTTCAAGAAGAAAATAAAATAATTTAATATTTTTCCATGGAACTGAAGAGCCGCACCTCGACATCAAAAGAGCCGCATGCGGCTCGCGAGCCGCAGGTTGCCGACCCCTGCGATAGTGTAATGCTGGATTTTGGGTAGTCTGAAATCTCTTGAGTTTGGGATGACGAGTTGAAATAAATTCATTTTAGCGTGGCCGAGAGTTGATTCGTTGTTGATTGGTAGAATGAGTTGAGTAATCGTGTGTTGCAAATCGCGTGTTGAGAATGTCGAGTAGTAGCATTTTTTAGAATAGTTTATTGGGATAACGTTATTTAAGTAGTCGAGAGATGAATAATCGAAGGTTGTGAAATTTGAGAAGTCGAGTAGATTGTTGAGTACAGCGTTTGTTGATCGCACTACCACGAGAAATGTCTTTTAAAAAAAAAAAAATACCTGAAGCTATGCTATAGCGCGGCACGTATCTACGGACAGAAACGAGTTGGCGAAAACAATGTCTACGAAATTTAAAAAAAACGCAATATAACCGAAAAGCAAATTCGTTAAAATTGTAAAAATGTTCTATAAGTTTAATGAAACATCAACGAGTTGACCACAGAAAAATATTTTAAAAACAAAACGTAGTCGTGTTTCTTTATTCGTAGACATTGTCCTGAGAAACTCGAGGAACGAAAATTAATCATTTAAAATATCAATGGTTTTCCGAAATCTTTTTTTGTTTGTTTTTATCTTTGAACTTAAATATTCCAAATATTTAATAAGCTTTAGTAAAAAAAAAAAAAATCGTAATATGAATACATTGGTGAATATAGATTTTTAAAACGTGTGCATGAATAGTCTTCCTAACAAAATAAATGGCTGCATACGTAATATTACATGTATGCAAATAATTAGTTTGTAATTTTAAAATCAGCGCACTTACCAAAAGATCTATTCTTTTAACAGTTCAAAAAACATAGAGAACACTTTTACATTTCAAGACATATCAATGTCCGCTCGCTTAAATGCTACACCGCTTACAGTTCGAAAACGACGGTTAAAAAAACTTAACACCCGGTGACCAAAATGCTACACTTCATTCATATATCCAGCAACTAATAAGAATATAGTGTGGATATTTTGCAACAGTAGGTTAGAGGAATAATCAGAGGCGTAGCGACACTTCTCGGCGCCCGAGATTTCCATTTGCACTCCCCCCCTCAAACTTTCGATTTACACCCCCCTCAACCTTTCAATTTATTTTTCCAACCCATTTTGGCCCCCCCTAAGGTCGGCGCCCGGGGACATATGTCCCCCCCGCCCCCCCTCCCCCCCCTCGCTACGCTACAGGGAATAATGTGCCCAAACTGCTAGACCGACATACACCACCCTTACATGTGTAGAATTCTCTATGTTAGATTTCACGACGGCATAAAATTAGTACACACATATCTAGACGGTGAACGACAGACATAGAATGTTGGGGCTCATATTTATTCAATTCAAAAAAAGATAAAAAGCACCGTTTGGTCATGTATTTCTTCATGCTTCAAGGTGTGGACTAATGCTAGAGGAGGTGTGGATTAGAGCATAGGGAAGTCCGGATTAGTAGAGGTGCGGACTAGTGTAGGTGCGTATTAGTGGAGTTGCGGATTAGTGTTAGATGAAGTGCGGACTAGTGCTAGTAGAGGTATGGACTAATGGAGGTACGGACTAGTGCTAGGGGAGGAGTAGACTAATGGGGGCACGGACTAGTGCTAGGGGAGGAGTAGACTAATGGGGGCACGGACTAGTGCTAGGGGAGGAGTAGACTAGTGCTAGGGGAGGAGTAGACTAGTGCTAGGGGAGGTGTAGACTAGTGCTAGGGGAGAGGTAGACTAGTGCTAGGGGAGGAGTAGACTAGTGCTAGGGGAGGAGTAGACTAGTGCTAGGGGAGGTGTAGACTAGTGCTAGGGGAGGAGTAGACTAGTGCTAGGGGAGGTATAGACTAATGGGGGCACGGACTAGTGCTAGGGGAGGAGTAGACTAGTGCTAGGGGAGGAGTAGACTAGTGCTAGGGGAGGTGTAGACTAGTGCTAGGGGAGAGGTAGACTAGTGCTAGGGGAGGAGTAGACTAGTGCTAGGGGAGGAGTAGACTAGTGCTAGGGGAGGTGTAGACTAGTGCTAGGGGAGGAGTAGACTAGTGCTAGGGGAGGAGTAGACTAGTGCTAGGGGAGGTGTAGACTAGTGCTAGCGGAGGAGTAGACTAGTGCTAGGGGAGGTGTAGAGTAGTGCTAGGGGAGGTGTAGACTAGTGCTAGGGGAGGTGTAGACTAGTGCTAGGGGAGGAGTAGACTAGTGATATGGGAGGTGTAGACTAGTGCTAGCGGAGGAGTAGACTAGTGCTAGCGGAGGAGTAGACTAGTGCTAGGGGAGAAGTAGACTAGTGCTAGGGGAGGTGTAG